CAGCCTTGGCAAGTGGCCCTTCTGTCCTGTGAAAACTTCAGATAATTTAGATATTTAGATATCAAAAAGTTCATCTGTAAAGAAACCTGTGATCGTTTCTCAAATGCATGACAACCATGATGCTCACACCTTGCCAAACAAGGATAAACCAAAAAAGACCCCCAAGGCAAATTCCTTAGGCACTGTGACATTTGGCTCCAAACACAGAAGATGTTAATCAGACAGAGGTGGATCCCGGGGAGCTCTCAGAACAGACTCCCCAAGCCTTCAGGATGGTTTCTCCCAGGTGCACTGTGTCCATCTCTTGCTGCTGTAATCATCCTGGGCAATAGGGTGGCCACAGAGAGGAAAAGGAAGGTTTCCCTTTAGGCATGGAGTAGGAAAGTTAACAAGAACCCTAAATTGATCAAAACGGTCAAGCAAAGTTTGCATCAACATTTTGTAAGACATGGGATGACATAAAATAAAGGCTTAATGTTCTTCAGGTGTTTGACAAAGCTAGGTGCCTCAGTTTTAAAAGGTCTGCTAAAGAGGCCTGCATTTTGGGATTATCAGGAACAGTCCCAATTTATCTCTGGATATCCCTAGGCAGCCATCAGCAAGAGTCATTTTTTTGCCAAAATCCGGGCTGCAGAACATTCTACAAACTCTTGAAATGTCAGTGTGCTTCCCCACACATGCTGCAGGAGCTGGGATGGTGCTGGTGCCAGCCCAGGTCAGCCTGATGTGATTTTCCACCGTCCCATTGAACCTGGGCACTGATCTGTGGATTGGACGTATGTGGAAACTGCAATTACTCAAATCTATTTCAATCACGTGCCTCTCTTCTGAAGATTTTAGTAAAAAGCTGCCCACCTCTTAGCTATCTCTTATCCAGGGGAATGTTTCCTATGGAAAATCCCAGCCTGTGCCCAAGTATATGGATCTTATACTGAAACCAAAGTTGTTACTATCAGAGAATATGACATTTAACCACCTACTTCCCTTAAGTCCTTAAGCTCAACAGCTGATTCATACCAGGATCTGACAATCCTGTTCTGTTGGGGAAAACTCAATAACCAAAATGATAGGGCTGTTTGTGGAGGACTTTCCCAGAACAAGAAGGGGAATTTGCATAAGAGGCCAGTATTAGAGAACAGCAGAGAGAGCAGAAACATTTATGCTGTCCTGGTTACAAAAAATGAGAGAGTGGGGAGGGAGAAAGCGGAGACAAGAAGCAAGAGGAGAACACAACAGTGCAACCCCAAACCAAATCATCTCCAACAAAGCAAAGCCAGGAGAAAAACAGAGGAGACTCTGAGCTCTGAACACTAAATGAGGAAACTTCTAACGGGGAGAACTGCGAAGCTCACCATTCCCGAAGGATGCACTGAAAGCTCGCAGCGCTGCTGCCCCGGCCGGGGATCGCTGCCAGGCACAGCTGGATCGGGAGCTGCGGGACAGGCGGGAGCACCAACGGGGACACGGGGACACGGGGAATGCCGGCCGCAGATGGAACAGCCCCAGGCTGCAGGGCCAGCATGCCGCTGCCTTGCCCCCGGAGCTGGGAGCGATCACAAGCGCTAATCGGCACACAGACAGGAGCCCGGCATGTCACCCGTCACGTCTGCAAAGCTCCAGGAAAACCCCCCTTTCCTCTCCTTGTGTCACGGCGGCACAGGAAGATTCCCTCAGCCTTTCCCTCCCCCTGGCTCAAATCAGCCCTGCAAGTTTCCCTCCTTGCAAACTCCTCCATTGTCTCAGATGCATTGTTTGCAAATGTTCCCTAAAAATGCTTTGTAAAGTATTCTTTATTCCTGTTTCAAGTCTTTCCACATCCCTGTGTAACACCTGGACTTTATCTTGTTACCTGTCAGACAGTGATAAACCCACTGCAGGCAACCCCTGCCTTACCATCTAAGATAAATACAATTTGTCTTGTAGCTGTCATTTCTCTTCAAACCCTTCTTCCACAGCTGCCTTTGTAGTGGTAATAAAATTACTTTATTTGGGCTTGAAATGTGTAACTTTTAAAGAAATAAAAACGTAAAAATCCCCATCAGCAAGAGCCCCAGGACCCGGGTTGAGGAATGAAAGCGATCACACCTTTACCCACTCACATTTGCCAAATTCCTGCATTTGGTGAAGTGCTTTGAAATACCCTTTGCTGATTGCTGAGGGTTGCCCACTGTGATCAGGATGAAGAATGAGTTGGAGCAAAGGAGGTTTGAGCTGCACATCAGGGTATTTCCTGCACACAGGGAAAGTGAGGAGTCTCCACTGCTGCTCTTTAGGAGCAGGATGGAGAAAGATGTCAGGAATGGCAGATCCATAGCTGATCCTGCCTTTGGACAGAGGACTGGATTAGATGACCTCCAATTGCCTCCTAAGGATATTTTCCATAATTGAGAATTGTATGTGCCATCTGTCCATTCTGATCTACTGCAGGAAAAAAAAGTGCAATACAACCAATAATTGTCCCTGATAGAGATGCAACTTTTGTGAAGGGAGAGGCATCTTCTGACTGCAGAAGGAACTGAAGCCTCCAGAGGTTAAATCACCTTCTGTGCATCTGCCAGACCCTCCTGCCCTCCCAAGAGAGAGTGCTGCCTGTTCTTCACCCCTAACAGCCCAACCCTCAATATTCAACCACAAGAGCATCTCATTAAGGGGCAGCTTCCTCAGCATTTTTGAAATGAGCAGAGAGGCAAGGAGCTGGTGCTGCTTTGCTCAAGTAGCTTTACCAAGGCTGTTCAGGTGCACTGTGCAAAACCTGAAGATGGCCCATGAAGCAACCAAACCTTCTGGTCCTGAATACCAGATATCCTGATAAAAGGGAACAACCCTCCATTGACTTGAGAGGTTCTTCTCTGATTCTTTGACACACAGCTCAAGATCTCTTTCCTGGTTTTTACTTTAGAGTCCAACCAAAAAAATGTTTAATAGCCCATCTCCATTTACAGATGGAAATCACACAATAAAGAACAACCTCAGGATTTAATCACCATCCAGATTAAATGAGAAGATGAACATGCAGAGCCAGAATCTGTTTGAGCTGAAGACAAGGACAAACTTTGCAGGACACCAAGAGAGATGCTGGCACCAGCCTTTGGAAGGAGAGCAGCTCACTGCCAGCTGTGCAGAGCTCAGAGCCTTTCCCCACTCTGTGCCTTGTCCCACCTGGTGTGGGCAGAAATGTCAGACCCCAGCAAAGTGCTGAAGCACAGCGAAAATGGTGAGAAATCTGTGAAACCCTAAACATCCTGTGCAGACATCAAGAAATCATGCAGCCATCAGTCAGCCAGGCAGAAAGGAAGTGGTGAAGGGAGAGGCTTTCCCTCAGCACAAGATGGAAAAGCAGCCAGGTTCAAAAACAAGGGGGGACCAGACCCTTTGAGAGACAGCACTGAAAGGAAGAGTAAAGATCACCCCCAAACCTTCTGCAGGGCTGAGCTTTCCCCACTGGTTCTCAGGAGAAATTAAGCACACAGCTCTACATGAAATCTGTCATTGAAGATTAAACAAAAAAGATGAAGAGCTTTCAAAAGTTGATTCTATTCAAATGCAATAGCAGCAGCACTCCTTATGGAAACACCCTATTAAAAAATCAGCAAAAACAGAAATGCAAATATGGGAGACCTGCAGAGGCTTTCCAACTCAGACCTTCAGTGCCTTTTGTACCCACTGATAGAAGGACAGAGGCTAAAAACATCATTATTGGGTCAACATCCCCTGACCTGCTACAGGGTGATGCTGATTCTATTTTTTATGTATAAAATACATACAGAAAGACACAGATTATATACACATGAAAATTACAGATGTACCACATGGCCACCATTAAAAAGGAGACCTGCTTGCCTTTGTTGGTTTTTGTTTTTTTTTTTTTTTCACACCCTGCAATAGGTCATTTTTATTTTAGGTACACACATACATGTTTGCAGTTTGTACCCACATGTTTTCTCTACAAATTCAGAGGTTCACAGCTTTCCTGGTTAATTCAGAATTTAATCCATTTGCCACATTAGACAGGATTTTGTTTCCATAGGTTTTTGTGGTACATTATTACGTTTATATTGACTTTTTTATTGAGATTCAGAATAAGGCATTTCCTCAATAGGCCTAATCCAATTGAAGTATCTCTCACATCCTTGCTGGTCACTTTATCTAATGTTTTTCTACCTCACTTGGGCAATATGCTCCAGGAGTGTCTCTGACTGCAGGGGCTGACCATGCTTTCTCTCCCTCTGCTAGTTTCCCTCATGCAGAAGAATGAATTTATCAATTACTCCAGTTCTTGAGTTACATGTGCCTGAGACTTGCAAGCCTGATAAGAAACCTGAAAACAAATACATCCAAAGACAGAGTTATCTAATGGTTGGCCATCTGCTTAGGAAAATCATTTTAAGTAGTTACAGCAATTCTATTAACTATTTACCAAGTGAGTCATGTTGTTCTCTTTAAGTTAACCCTTCCTGTCTCTCTGTGGGCTCAGTGCCCCAGGCAGTTTTGAAGAAGGTGCTCAACCACCTTCCCTCCTTTCAGGCCATGGCAAAACCCGCACTCGAGACCCCCCAAACTCACACTGGACAGGAGACACAAACGAGCAATAAAGCAACCAAAGAGCAATAAAGCAGCCGTGACTGTCGGTCCATGCAGAAATCTGCTCCCGGAGCATCCCCGCACAGGGCACGGCGCAGCAGCCCCGATGGGGATGGGAGCGCGCCTGGGGCACTGCGGGCGGGCCGGGCAGGGCAGGGCAGGGCAGGGCAGGGCAGATCCCTGCCCCACATCCCGCAGCCCGTCTGCCCGTCCTGCAGCCGCCTCTCCCCGCACAGGACACCGGGCACAGGCCCTCGGGCAGGGCCGGCTCCATCGCGGGCGCTCCAGGGCAAAGGGGCTCTGCTGAGGAACTTTCAGCTGCTGGGCAGGGATAAGGCAGAGATGGAGCCTTTGGGACAAGACCGCACAGGTTTGGAGCCATCTATTCAGTCCCTGCCCTTTTCCCTTTAACACTATGAAGCGGATAGAAATCTCCTTGAAAGCACTGCAGAGAAGTTTGCAGGACGAAGGGTGCTCCCCCGGAATCGCTATTTTGTCATTAAGCACAAATATCTGCGGAAGGCAGAGGAGGGGTGGGTGCAGGGAGGCAAAGTCCAGCGCCTGATGTTTGAGGGAAGATCCGCGGAGCAAACACCTTGGAGCGCGGGGGTGTGTCGAGGGACTGACAGTCGGGAACCAGCGCGGGGTGAAACGCACCGGCTCCACGGGGAAACACCGTCCGAGCCGGGGCAGCAGAAAGAGATA